GAGGCAGAGTGGGGTTGAAAGTAGTTACTAGAGGAATGCGGCTAGATTTATTTTTAATCTTGTACATTAGAGTGACTTCTCTAGGTGTGGAAATTGCTTTATTTATTTGTTCCCTGATTAGGTGTTGTTTATAACCACGTGTTGTGAATTGATGCTCCAGATTTTCAGTGTGTTTAATAAATTCTTCATTGTTGGAACATGTCCTTCTGACTCTAAGGGCTTGTAAATAGGAAAGGTTCTCTTTGAGGTGTTTAGAGTGGGAAGACTTAAAGTGTAGATAGTTGTGGTTGTCGGTGATTTTAGTGTGTAGTGTCGTTTGTAGTTTCCTATTTTCATCTATGAAAATGCGGGTGTCTAAAAATGTTACTGATGTTGTGGATTTTTCATAGTCAAACTTAATTGAGCCGTGCACTGTGTTTAGGGTCATAAGGAATTGGATATTTTTGTCATCACTACCCGTGTATACAAAGAATATATCACCGATATATCTTGCATAGAATGCGCAGTCGCTACCAATGAGGGGATAGATATGGGTCTCCTCAAAATTTCCCATGAATATTGTAGCATATGATGGAGCTGCATTGGTGCCCATGGCACAACCTCTTATTTGAAGGTAGTGTGCTCCATTGAAGTTGAAAATATTTAATGTAAGGACATACTCCATGAGTTTTATGATAACTTCTGTTGGGGGTCTTGTTTTCTTCTTTTAGTAAGTGCATCCTGAAGGGCGGTTAGCCCTTCGATGTGTCTAATGTTTGAATAGAGTGACCTTACGTCCATAGTCACTAGAATAGCATTCTCTGGAACTGTTTGTCTGTGATTCATTTTGTTTAGTAGATCTGTTGTGTCTCTGATGTAGGATTTTACTTCCTTAGCTAGAGATTGTATGTAATGATCTACGTATTCGGAAATTTTGGTCGTGTGGCAGTTGAACAATGAAATGACCAACCTTTCTGGGTTGTTGCTTTTGTGTATTTTAGGAAGGTGGTAGAAACGAGTAGGTGTAATGTTTGTGGGTGTAAGTTTTGTGCATGTTTCCTTGTCAATTAGATTGTTGCGAAGCATTATGTTTAGTGAGCTTGTTAATTATTTTTGTTATTCGGGGAGGGGATCTGTAGGTAAGCTTTTATAGTTTTCTATGTCGGCTAGCTGTTTGTTGGCCTCTTCAATGTATTCTTCGATTCCCCAGATCACTGTGGCATCCACTTTGTCAGCCTGTATATATATATATATATATATATATATATATATATATATATATATATATATATATATATAGGTACGATGAGAACGAACGGAGTACAATTTCATCGTTCCTAATATTTAATTTAGAAGAGGACCCATTTATATTAAAATAGTTGGGCTTCTTCAATTAGTTTAAATTTAACGTAGGTCATATTTGATTCGTTAAGCAAGGTAAACATTCAAGTCTTATAACCTTTTTTTTCTCGAAAGAAGAGGTTACATTTTCCTTTTAATTCCAAATAAATAAGAGGACCTTCCAACATTCGCTGGCGTAAAAGACGACAGATGCCATGTAACAGCTCGCTATCATTTTCTTTGATACAGAATCCCGATGATGAGTTTTGTTACGTCGCTTATTAGACTGATTGTTCGGTGGAATCACATTCGTTTGCACCTGGTTTCTTAGACACTGCTATGAAGATAATTCTGCTGAGATTACGACCATCATCTTTATATAAACCAATATTATCAACTTTGACATCTTCATAGGCAGTAAGGCTATATAAAATAAATAAACCCACCAGGTCAGAAGACTCTGAAGAATCAAATGATCCCATTGAAATATCAAAGTAATCATCAGAGTTCTTAACCCCCTTTTTTTTTTTATTGTGAATGAAAACTGATCTCCTGAGTTCCCTTCAATGGAGATGGTAGAATATTCTTTGGCAAATTCCAAAGCCAGGTTAAAGATATTCTTGGAGTTGTCAGGGTAAAAATCCACAATATCAAACTGGATAAAAGAGCAGTTGCTTTTGTTACCAATTACTTTAAACTATATAATGCCTTCTGTGGTACTAATCCAAGTCCAAGGCGTCATTTAATCTGTTTGTTGACTCGATCCAGTATAACTTTGCTTATCCTTCTAATTTCTGATCTGGTAGGTTTTATGATCCTTGTAGGAAATTTGGTCTGAAAATCTGGTTAATGATCTTTAAGTAAGACATATGATACTTTAGTCCAGAGCTCACTAACCCTATTCCTAATTTTAAGTAATATTTCCAGAAGCAGTGTTATTTTTGTAAACACAATTAATATTGCTAATATCTATCTTCTTATAATTCTCAGTGAAATTGTTTTTGATTAATGCATTGTATTCTTTGAGATCAAAATTGATAAAAATTAGTATTTATATCATATTTAACAAATGTTTGATCGGATATATTAATATCCTTAACAACGCAATCTAAATGCCTCTGAAACTGATTCCGATTTGTAAGAAAAGTTATGTCATTTATAATCAGTAGATCAGTTTCAAAGCCCTTTAAGCGTTCAATGAGATGTGCAATTTTTAAACTCCTAAACACATAAAGATCTAATGTATTAGATGTCTAATCTATCTATATAAAATATGTCGATGAAGAACGAACAAGTGCACTTTCTATCTTATTCTTCTAATCAGATCTCTAGTCTTTAAAACCAAATTTTTCGAATTATTTCCCTTTGTTTGGATGGGAAGGTTTTTTTAACGTAATTCCAAAATTGATCTTTTCCATGTTAGATCATTAATTAAATGTAAACTGTGCTGAACCCTAGGGGATGCAATATCCAGGTACGATGACAACGTATGCAATTCCAACGTTACTTTAAAATAGCGATCAATACAGAGTAGAGCAATATTATTTATTTATTATATTTCGCTTCTCTAGGTTTGAGCAATATTATATTTAGTAACATTATTTAATATTTTAGACATTTTACATAATTATTTACGAGTTACTTGAAGAAGCCTTTTATCAATCAAATACAAACATAAATATGTAGGAAATTCAAAAGCATATAACTTGTTTAGCTTATAGTTAATTTGTCACTCTACCACTTATTTTATTTCTTAGAGAAATGGAATTTCTGGTTTTGTATATATATATATATATATATATATATATATATATATATATATATATATATATATATATATATATATGAACTTTAAGTTAATGTCTGTCTGCTGTTAGCTGTCAATCTACGGGTCATGACCTATTTATATAAAAAAATGATTTATAATTTTTGCTTCTCCGCTTAGCTTAAATTTAACGTAGGTCTTATTTGATTGGTTGATCAGGATAAAGCCCTCAAGACTTACTTTTTTTTCGAAAAAGAGCTTGTAGACGGCTTTTGAATACAAATAAATCGTTTACTAGCCAGTGATTTTCAATCGCCTGATGAGATGCATTGTTATACATTAAAATCGACTGTAGTTACGTAGAATTTTTACGCTTTCGCTGTAATGTGTGTATATATATATTAACTATTATTACATTTTTAAGCAGTTCACCCCAAGCAAGGCGGGAAGCCTATGGGACACAAGGGGTTTACAGAGAGTTGGAGCGAGAGGGAGTGATAGCGGAAAGGATGAAGTGAAGGTTAGGGGATAGATCAGGGCATCTGGAGACGTCGATTGGCATTACATTTGAATAGTTGGAGATTATAGCTATCAGGGAAACAAGAAATGGGAAGGGAGTTCCTCAAGTGAGAACTGCGAGACATGACGCTTAGAAGAGACGGCTACATTTAACAGTTCCGACAATTAAAAGGTGAGAACGAGATGAAAGCCTAGTTGAATGCAGCTCATCAGAACAGTTACCGTGAATGTATTTGTGAAATGAACAGAGAGAGGCAGCAGCACGTCTGTGAGAGAGCGACTGCAGACGAGATGCCAGATCAAGGTCAATTATATTACATATCCGTCTCTGGATATTATTAAGGACCTTGAGACAAACAGAAAGGGCACCAGACCATATATGACAGCAATACCGCATGCATTTTTATTATTATCATTATTATTATAATTTGTCGTAGTAGTATTAGTATTATTAACTCAATCTAGCGCAAGTGAAATGAATATCTATTTTATTTAAACCGTTTACAAAGTTTACTTTTTCATTTGCTATTTAACAAATGCATTCAAGTGTACTATTTTCCATTTCGAACGTTCTCGGATGTTTTCAATCAACACATTTCTACATTTCCTTTTATCGCCCCATATATATATATATATATATATATATATATATATATATATATATATATATATATATATATATATATATATCTCTCTGTGTGTGTATATATATGTGTGTGTGTGTGTGCGCGTGTGTGTCTGCGAATTTATACACACAGAAATATCTATATGATCTTCACACATGTCTAAGAAATAAACCGCAAGACAACACACATGCATGTATACATGTAATTATTCATTCACAAGCGCATTTATTTTTCCTCAACAATAATCTCTTCTCTTTTTATATGTTTTTGAGTAATTGAAGTTCGTTTTAAGCAAGCTAGAAAATAAAATGGTTGTATTAAGATATCTTTCTTTTGAAAATGTGATTGATTTTTGATGTCAAAAAGGTCATTTTGGTCAAATACAAATCATCATACAAAGAAAACTGTCTTTTACGCAATCAGCCACCCAGAGGACAGAGAACACAGCAGGTGTCAATGACTGCTTGTATAGAGGTTTATATAAATATGTTTATGCTAAATAATGTATGTGAATATCAATGTAGGATTGTACGCTGAAGTTTGAGTGTATATATATATATATATATATATATATATATATATATATATATATATATTACGCAGAAAGATAAATAGATGGATAGAAATTATATACGCACATAATTTATACATGCATCCAACTCCAACCAACAGGTACTGTTACATATTTGTTAAGTAAAATTATGCATTATATATATATATATATATATAGAGAGAGAGAGAGAGAGACAGAGACAGACAGACAGACAGACTGAGACAGAGAGAAAGACAGACAGACAGAGAAAGACAGACGGAGAGAGAAAGAGACAGAGAAAGACAGACAGACAGACGGAGAGAGAAAGAGACAGAGAGAGAAAGACAGACAGACAGGGAGAGAGAGAGACAGACAGAGTGAGAAAGACAGACAGACGGAGAAAGCGAGAGAAAAAGAGAGACGGGGACAGAGATAGAGAAAGAGAGGTGGAGACAGAAAGAGAGGAACAGAGAGAAGGAGACAAAGAGAGTGAGAGATAAAGAGAGGCGGTCACGGAAAGAGAAATAGATTGAGACGGAAAGAGAGGGGAACAGAGAGAGGGAGACAGAGTGAGAGAGAGAGAAAGAGAGGCGGAGACAGCGAGAGAGGAACAGAGAGACGGAGACAGAAAGAGAGGAACAGAGAGACGGGGACAAAGAGAAAGAGAGAAAGAGAGACGGTCATGGGGAAAGAGAGACGGAGAGATAGTGGAACAGAGAGACGGAGACAGAGAAAGAGAGAAAGAGAGAATGAGACAGAGAGAGAGAGAAAAAGGGAGACTGAGACAGAGAGAAACAGAATGAAACAGAAAAAGAATCAGAGAGAGACATTTTAGCTCACAAAACATAAAATCGATTTTCTGAACCCTTGGAAAATCATATGATGGATACCCATGTCATTAATTTTGTCCTGAGCTTCAATTTCCTGTCTGCACTACATTCTTCATTATCGAAAGAATCTCAAATCGAACGTTCCCCAGTAAAATCCGACTTCCTGTCTTTTTTTAAAAATCCGTTTTGTCCGATCATAATATTAGCGACATGCTTCACTGTACGTATCGAACTTTGAAATGTGCTCAGTGATTATCAATCATTGTGTCAGACATCTATATTATGCTCGAATATCTAATTCGAAAACGTATTTTTTTCATTATTTATGCTCACAGTGGAACTGACTGGAGATCAAGTGATTGTAATTCTCGTAAATGTTCTAAATGTCCCACTATTCTACTAGTAGTTTCTTTTTAATAATGTTATTATAAGGATTCTTGGATTAATCCAGTGAGGATCGATCTTTCTAAATATTGTCATTAATATTTGAATCCAATCAAATTAGAAATAAACAGTATGCGATGAAGTAAACGTTTCGATTTTTCAATATACAGGCTGACCCCCAAAAAACGGGAATTTTTGAAGTGCGTATTGCCAGACATGAGCAAGTGGTAACACTGCGAGACAGTTACCTTGAGCAAGTAAATATTTCGCCATTTAGAATTCAAGATGAAATTCACAGTATCCCAGCTGAGATGTTGCAGCAGTCAATGAGGAATCTCAACAGCAGATTTCAAGAATGCATTCGTGCAGGAGGACGCCATCTACAGGACGTATTTTTAAAAAAATGAAAATTCCATCATCGTTTCTTAAATGGCATGTTTCAAGGTTTCAATTATTATGAATAAAATATTTTTCTTCCATCACTCTTGGTTTTATTGGATTGTTAAATAGTTCCCATCTTTTTGGGTCATGCTGTATTTCGAGCACTTTATATATGAAATAATCTTAAATGAAAAAAGGTTGTGTTTTCTTGTTTTTCTTCTATGTAACATGTCTCTTCAGGACGTTGGTGATCATGGATCGCCACAATTTCTTATCCTTTGTAACTCCTAATAACTTCTATCTTTTTTGCTATGTCTGCTACTAATTTTTGTAGTTCTTTTAGTTTCCTTTCTGTCTTATTTAAATATTTGATTATTTGCATATCTTGTGTTATTAAGAATATGCTCGCCAATAATGAATCCCCATAGTATATGTCTATATTTCTGAGATGAGGTATTATTTACACTATTCGGACTATTGTCCTCATCTTTGTCGCTATATCTATTGCAACATTCCGGCCGTTGTACGCTCTGGCCTTCTTCAGGTGGTTGGAACGTCGAACTGAACGCTTTATTTCGCTCACTGGGGTAGTCTGTTCTAGTTCCACGTTTAATAGATGTCAGTTTTCAGTTATTTTCTGTTAATTCATCTCTCTCCACTGCCTTAACTGGGTATTGAACTCACACTCTTTGGGTCTTGTCACTGAATCTAACTAACGTCTTTATCCACTGTGCCATGTATCCTCAAGAACTTGGAGAGGGGAATTAACAGGAGATAACTGACATCCATTAAACATGGCACTTGGAACTAGAACAGTCTACCCCAGCGAGTCAGTTCCGTTCGACTTTCCGAACACCTGAAGAAGGCCAGAGCGTACAACGGCCGAAACGTTTTAATAAATATGGCGAGAAAGATGAGGACAAAAGTCCGAATAATGTAAATAGAATCCTGATAGGACTTCTAATTCTCTCAGAAAACATTTTGCAATTCTTTTATGTATTAGATACATACCAAAGTACATTTTAAATATAATATGACGAACTCAATTTCAGTTTCATTTCAGAAAGTGATTTCTAAAACCAGTTTAGAATGGCTAGAAATTTAGAAATCTCTTTAAGATACTTAATATATTTCACTGGCCTACATATATTTTGGTACAAGGATGAAAACTCCTTTTTGGCTAATTTGAAGCTGACGAATCCCAAAATGGCTCTTACTGTTTATTATTAGTTAAGATTTTCTCTGTACCAAAATGTCTCATTTTGGCGAAAATTTTCATTATCGTGGGAATTCAAGGCTTCCAGATTGGAAAATCAAAATCTATAATCCTAATCAATTCAAATCAAGCATTATTAAGGAAAATTAATCTGATATTTTAATGACGAAAAAAGGCTCTATAAAAATGGAATCCATTTTTTGAGATTTTACCATAATCCCACCATTTTCTAAATAGCTAATAATATGTATGTGTATCTCATTCAAACTATTAAAGGATTTCATAATTAAACTATTCCTAATCGTAACAGTAATATGAGTATGCAAGTATTTTGCCCATAACGGATAATTATAGACATCATGAGATAGTTTTGGTGTTTTAAGTGAGTTTATTGAATTCATTTGATATTTAATCTGTAGTGTTAAATAAGATATGAGAACAAAATTATATTTTTTTTTAATTCGTATCCGAATACAATATAATTATTATACGTTGTTTTATTTCTAGAACTTAATACCAAAACAGCAACTTCGTGCAGAGGATGTAAACATATCACGGTTTCTTATGTTAAATATGTGTCGAGCTTACAACAACGAATAAGAGAAAACTGATCATTGATTTTTCAGAAAGCATCATCTTGAAAGAAAAGTATGAACCCATCAAGGAGATAATGGAAAGAATAATTTATTTTTATCATATCTGGGGTATTTGGGTTGACATGAAAATGATTAAATTTTTATTTCCTTGAGCTGCAAAAAGGCGACACAAAGTTCCCATGTTGCGTTTGTTTATGGAAGTGTAGAGCCAGAGGTCAAGCACTGAGAGAGAAGCGAGTATCGGGTCAGAGTAGGAATGAAAGTGCGAGAGAAAAATTTTAACGCTGATCCGCTAGTTTTCAGAGACAAAATTATCATCCCTCTTCTCCATAACAGACTAAGACTCCTGAAGTAGTTTATGAAAGCGCATGTCAAACGAAGGGTAATGTTTTCCGTACATTTGCAGTGCATTTCCTGATCTCAGTATATAAAATTTGCTGCTACAAATTACCGGTAGTTTGCTGCTACAAAATACCGGTAGTTTGCTGCTACAAATTACCGGCGGTTTGCTGTTACAAATTACCGGTGGTTTTCTGTTACAAATTACCGGTGGTTTGCTGCTAAAAATTACCAGTAGTTTGCTGCTACAAATTACCGGTAGTTTGCTGCTACAAATTACCGGTGGTTTGCTGCTACAAATTACCGGCGGTTTGCTGTTACAAATTACAGGTGGTTTTCTGTTACAAATTACCGGTGGTTTGCTGCTACAAATTACCGGTGGTTTGCTGCTAAAATTACCGGTGATTTGCTGCTACAAATACCGGGAGTTTGATGCCACAAATGACTAGATACATCGGTAAACAGTAGAAAATTTCGACAGAAACAATGGAATGTGTGCTGAAGTAAGATGTAATATCAATCCTCCTATATGGCACACAATACTGGAAAGTTTCCGCACATTTGAAAGAAAACTTGATGCATAAAATGGTGTTATACTCAAGGATGCTTAGCATAACTTTGGCAGAATAAGAACGACATAATTAAATACACTATTAACTTACACTGAGAATCAAAATGAGACAATTGAAATTTCTGAGCGCATAATGAGGAATGAAAGAATTGGAAAATTGACAATAACAGGAGATGCTAAAGACAGGAGGGACAGAGGAAATCAGAGAGTACCTTAGCTAAATTGCTTGAGTAATTGAATGACAGAACAGTGATAGTAAAAAGATAAAATTGGGTAAAGGCTAGAATGTACTGGAAGTTGTATGGCCATGATGTTCCACGTACTGAAGAAAATACAGCATAACTAAAAGAAGGCACAGAAAAGACAAACAATGGAGTGTGATTTTTGGAAAAATACATTTTTTCTAAAACGTATATGAAAGGCAGATGTAAAAATTGGTGAATCAAACATATCTGGGTTTTTTTCTATATTTTTTTAAAATAGAATATAATTCAGAATATATTAAATTACAACAGAAAACTGACCCCAAATTCACATTTCTATCAAAAGCATTGCGAAATATACACTTTTCAGGTGGCAATTTCAGAAATTTGAAACAGTTTGGTACTGACGGAAATTCTCTGAACATTACTTCAAATGAGCCAAAAAGCTACTGAGGAATATTTTCCGAGTCTGTCTATATTTCTGAGATGAGGTATTATGTACAGGATTTACATTAGTTGGACTATTGTCCTCATCTTTGTCGCCATATTTGTCACAATGTTTCGGCCGTTGTACGCTCCGGCCTTCTTCAGGTGGTTGGAATTTCGAACTGAACCCTTTATTTCGATCACTGGGGTAGACTGTTCTGTGCCATGTTTGATGGATGTCAGTTATCATTTATCTCCTGCTAATTTTCCCTCTGAAAGTTCTCCACTGCCTTAACCATGTATTGAACTCACCTTCTTTGGGTCTGTCACTGGATCTAACCAAAGCCTTTATCCACTGTGCCATGTGTCCTTGAGGACACATGGCACAGTGGATAAAGTGAGTGACAGACCCATATATATATATATATATATATATATATATATATATATATATATATATATATATATATATATATATATATATATATATATATATATATATATATATATATATATTTAGTGAACATTGAAGTCATTACTTAGAGGCGACAGGATGTGTCATGCTAGACGCAATCGGCAGGTAGCCTGACGATTGCGTCTAGCATGAAACAGCCTGTCGCCTCTAAGTGTTGGCTTCAATGCCCACTTTTATATTTATACAAGCTTTATCTCTATTATTGTGCACTTTATTCCATAAATATAGCACACCTTGAGAGTATATTTCTTCATATATATACGTGTGTGTGTGTGTGTCTGTGTGTCTGTGTGCGTGCGTGTTTGAACAAATCTTTAATATATATTTTTTTAATTGTATTCTTACTTAAATTTAATATAAATGATTTATTGTTAATCTCTTTAATATATCCCATTTTTAATTATAATTTGGTAGATTTTTTTTTTA